AGTACCTTGTCGAGGCTTATCAATAATTATACCTACTTCATCTCTAAATCGGTCTTGTACTTGTTTTTTCTTAGTCTCTTTTTCAATCTTGTGTAAAGGATCAATGGCAGACCATTTTTTAAATGAAGATTGTACGAGATATGAAGAATCAATTCCATAAATCTGATTCAAGCGTGTAAAGATGAAAGACCAAATTTATATGTATCTTCCCGAGATGGTTTTGTCACCTTCTCCAGATTATTCATTTCCGTTGGTTTGGCAAGGCATACCGTACAAGTAGATCTAGAAGGAGTGTCTGTTAATGTGCTGCATACTTTTCTATCGATCATTGTAAAAAATAATTGGTAGTTTACACTAAATTGCTTAACACCTACCATTATAAGTGTTGGCGCTAACTTATCAATTTGGGATTCTATATTTGAAGATAGACATCTGATTCTCTCCGCAGTTTCTTTTGCAACCTCTATAGATATGGGTCTACAGAATCGAGTCGAAGAAGGAGATGGGTTTTCCCATAATATTGTTGTGAATGTTTTGTCGGTTATACGCAATGGGACTAATGATGAAATAAACAAATTAGAATCGGTTATTTGATCTGTTTTATCTTACAGAATCTGTTTATATTGGCTTTGTCCAGAGGGCCCATCACATCCTCACTTACACATTAATATGAGATCAGTTACCGTAGGATATTTTAACACTTCCTCTAATTGTGTTTTAAAAAGTCTCTCGTAATGTTATACTGGCACTTACTGGTGTGACAGTTATCGATAGAGGATGTGAGCTCACTGAAAATTGATGAGCGTCAATGAGCGGATAAATACACTTTTGCAAGACAACTCATTTTAGAATATTTGAAACTGTTTGTTTTCCACCAAACAAATGGATCTTCATCTCGTTTTACGAGTTCTCCGGGTAAATAACAGTCCAGTTCAATTGCTATCCTATTTCTTGGATTGAAGTCTTTAACGGCCTTACTAGACGAAGCTATGTCTTTATAGCAGTCCCGGAAAATACCATAACTTCGATTGATCCCACTTGTTGAAGGTAACTCTTCATCGTTATCTCTATCATCGCTACTGCTGCTCTCTGAATTAAATTCCCTTTGAAGTGCTTCTAAAAAAAAGGTACGCCTTATAACAGATATGTTTTCAGATGAGAAAAATTGAAAACGAAATCGAGGATCAAGTAACGTTGCCATATAATANCAATCATTTCAAAATATTTTTATAAATGTCAAATAGACTTTTCTAAAGAAATTGATTTTTTAGTCATTTTTAGCAGTCGTAGATAAAATGGCCTACGACCTCGTCGTGCAATTCTCCACACTCGTACTGTAATTATGTTTCTAGACCACTTGTAATATAAATAACTATTATTTAATTAAAATATACATTTTTTTTTGTTGTAATTAGTATATTTGCGTCACCGATGGAGGATGTTGGGGGGATCCCCATTATACCACTTTTGATGGGAAAAAATACGATTTTATGGGGAAATGTACTTATTATGTCGTAAGAGGAATCGGATTTGATATTATGTGCGATCATTTCGTGTACAAATCAAAAGCTTTTGTTGTAAGTAATAATCATCATAATCTCTTAACGTCTCAATATTTATTAGAATATAATTTTTTTATTACCAGAAAGATTTTGAGTCTTCTTTACCGTCATATTGCGCCAGGGTCATCGTTAAAGTTCAAAACGATGTTATCGAATTGGAACAGAAACACGTTGTTAAAGTTAATAACGAGCAAATTAGTTGGCTTCCCCACAGAGTTTCCGGTATTGAAATTACCAATCCAAGCAGTCAATTTACACAAGGTAAATTAATAACTTTATAATTAATTCTAACTAATTATGGTTTTAATTTCTAGTTAACTTAAGGAATTACGTTAGTGTTTCATGGAATGGTGACAGCAGAATCACAGTTAGTATTCCAACATCGATGAAGGGTCGTATTAATGTAAGTATTAAAAGTATTAGTGTAAGTTGATGTGTGCAACAAATAATTGGCTCCAGATGTCCGTCTTGTTTACGCTACTCCAAAACTATCACGTCAGCACTATGTTTCATTACTATAATGGTTGGTCTTATAGAAGTAGCAATCCACACTTTTTGCCATCGTTGATCTTTGGTGAACCCAAATATGACCTCCAACATATGACTTTCCAATCTAAACCATCCATTCAGTACCTAACCTTCGGGATGGCTAAGTGTCTGATGTTTCGCGCCACTAACACATTTCGAAGTGTCAGAATCGGTACATTGGCTTGCCATTTAACAAATACTTCGTGATCATATAATTCATCACACATAAGGTCTGGAGAAAATTGGTGACCTCTTAATTTATATTTGGGTGACGTTGCCTGCAGTAAACGTTTAAAAAAGACACCTGTCACAAAATTAAAGGGCAAATTTTGACCAACAACGGTATTTTTTATAATCTTTATTTCTAGCTTCTTGTGCATCTTTTGAAAGTTGTCCTATTGGTAATACAGCATACTGTATGATGCTTTCACCGTAAATAAGTATTTTGTTTCCGGAAGCAGGCATGTAGTACCATTTATATAGCTCTGCATACAGTTCTGCTATTTTATCTGCGTATTTTCCAAACTTTGTGGCATCTATGGCTCTTCTGCTAGCTAATGTTTGAAGAATTATGGAAAACCTTTTAATTAAATCCTCATCTACTCCTGTAATATCTGCTGTGCAAGAAGGATTAGAAAAGAATCTTCTAGCAGTGTTACCATCGTTGGAGTTTCCGGTACCTTGTCGAGGCTTATCAATAATTATACCTACTTCATCTCTAAATCGGTCTTGTACTTGTTTTTTCTTAGTCTCTTTTTCAATCTTGTGTAAAGGATCCATGGCAGACCATTTTTTAAATGAAGATTGTACGAGATATGAAGAATCAATTCCATAAATCTGATTCAAGCGTGTAAAGATGAAAGACCAAATTTATATGTATCTTCCCGAGATGGTTTTGTCACCTTCTCCAGATTATTCATTTCCGTTGGTTTGGCAAGGCATACCGTACAAGTAGATCTAGAAGGAGTGTCTGTTAATGTGCTGCATACTTTTCTATCGATCATTGTAAAAAATAATTGGTAGTTTACACTAAATTGCTTAACACCTACCATTATAAGTGTTGGCGCTATCTTATCAATTTGGGATTCTATATTTGAAGATAGACATCTGATTCTCTCCGCAGTTTCTTTTGCAACCTCTATAGATATGGGTCTACAGAATCGATTCGAAGAAGAAGACGGGTTTTCCCATAATATTGTTGTGGATGTTTTGTCGGTTATACGCAAAGGGACTAATGATGAAATAAACAAATTAGAATCGGTTATTTGATATGTTTCATCTTGCAGAATCTGTTTATATTGGCTTTGTCCAGATGACCCATCACATCCCCCACTTACACATTAATATGAGATCAGTTACCGTAAGATATTTTAACACTTCCTCTGATTGTGTTTTAAAAAGTCTCTCATAATGTTATACTGGTACTTACTGGTGTGACAGTTATCGATAGAGGATGTGAGTAACAATCTTTCTTTGTGCTCTGAACTTGGTAATAAGTATATAATAATTTACATCCTTGTATTGCAGCGCATGATCCTAATATATTATACTGATACCTAGATAGTCCTATATCTGCCATTAGAGCCAACGAATTTTCTTTACTCAATAGACTTTCGATACCTTCATTTTGGAATAATACATGATAAACCAAATCTTGCTGTTCCATTGATGTATTTTTTATACTTTCAATAATATTTGCGTTCCTAATTTGGCCTTCTGCTCACAGTCCTTGCAAAAATGCATGACGTAATTGATCCAAACCTTCAGTCTGCAGTAAGCGAGTTGAATTTCTTCTCTTTGTCCGTTCACTGGAATCATCAAATGTTTTACACAGACGGCCTTTTTCTGAGATTATTGCAGACGTAGATGGTAGATTTTTAGATACACAACGAAATCTTTATCTGACCATTCAGAATATTGCTCTAAAAAGCGTTCTTTTATTCTATGAGATGCAGACCATTTAATTTTGAAAGACGGCAGCAGACGTTCTTGAATATTTTGAACAACACAATTGATCTTCTTCAGATAAATGAAAACGTCCTGCGATATAATTACGAGCAGAAGAAATATGTTTGCCATGTTCAATAAACTCTAGGCATAATTCTTTGATTTTTATAACAAACTGAGACATTGCAGTATTTACCAATCGAATAGAAGTATTACTACTAATTGATATGGTACTCATATTTATACGTAAACCTAAATGTTTTTCTTTGTGGTGTAGTCGAATATCAATATATGGAAAACAATGGCAGATAATTTTATAACAAACCTGTATTTATACGTAAACCCAAATGGTTTTATTTAACTTTGCGGTGTAGCTAAATAACAATAGGTAGCAACGTCAATAAAATTGATAATTTTGGAACAAACAATGTTTATAAATTTATTAATAACCTACTTTTTTTTAGAATTCACAAAACAATACCAATTCAATAGGGCAAAAACGGGAACGAGATTTTATTATGAGCACATTCTACATTAAATTAGGAATCTTTTGATACCAAACTGTAGTCGTAGGTAGATTTAGCTCATAACGATATATCTACTCAAACATAAATTATTCATTAACTAGCAGTCTTATACAAAAGAAAATCTAGCAAGAAAACTAGCGAAGGTAATGACATGTTCTTGTATAAAATGAATACAATACATATCAAAGTTAGTATATACGAGAAATTAGAAGTATTTCCGAAATGGTTTCTAAAATAAAAAGTTTGAAGTTGAACAGATTTTGGCCAGCAAAACAGCGTTCGCTGAATCTGTTCGATGAACGAACTATAGCCTCTACTACTAAACACGATTATTCGGACGTTTGGCGTCTCTCTATCGCATGAACATGTGTGAACTTGTATCTCGCCAAATCTTTCGCATTAAAAGTTGCGAATGCGAAAGCTTGATAACGGCGAAACATTCTCACATTGCCAATGCGAACGCAAATATTCGTTACAACCCTAGTTAATAGTTCTGTGGTGGGCACTCCAACACCAAGTCGCAAGGTAAACGCAGCTCGGTGTCAACAATACTAGCCGGTATCTGTCCCGTAGATTGGACAGCAGATCAATATGTCAGCAAGAACAAATAAAGATGCATATCTCGTTGATGGTAAAAACCTACCGACTCATGATCCTATTCATCCACTCTCCCATTCTATCGAAATTTGAGTGAAATATTGTTCTTGTCTTCTTGATGTTTAGCACCTTACAAACAGCAGATCGAGTCTTGTATGAAGGCATCCACTATTGTTGTAATTTCCTAGTTTGGCAAGGCATAAGCTTCCACTCATTTGCTGATGTAGTGCATGTACAATATAGTATACAATATAGTAGTCCATACAAAGATGTATTTATTGCTTCCATCAGTTTTGGGAAATGGACCACCGATTTTGTATTGTTGCATTGGTGCCTTCCTGCGCCAATCTTTAGTTAACACTAAATAATGCACATCCTCAGTGTTCCAGTGGTCATCTATGACAGCTGTCCTGCACACTTGAGCTTCCTTCAAATCCGTATATTTGCAATGTTTACAGTATTCTGGACATGGTCTTCTTGACAGGATATTAACGTTGCAATGTACTCTATCGAAGTCGAACTCTAGAATCTGTCAATCCATTTTGCAATCTTCTCGTCAGGATTTTTATTGTAGCCTTGTTATATTATTATTATTATTGCTGCCGGGCTGAGGGGAGCGGCCCCTCTCGTTACCGCAACCTATAAGATCTACTGTAACGTTAGCCCTCCAAAGATAAAGTCAAGGGAATTTTACCGAAAATGTTGTGTCTTAGACGGTCTCTAACGACGCAATTGCACAATATATGTTCAGCAGTTTCTGACTCGTCGTTGCATAGTCGACAAATTTGATCCTCAGCTTGTCCAATATGGAAGAGGTGGTATTTTAGGGGCGCATGGCCGGTCAGGTAACCTGAGAGCGTCCTTAGGTCCCTTTGCATAAAACCTCTTTGGTTTTGTTTTGCGACGGAGTTATCATACTCTTCGCTTGTCTGTGACCTGGAAGTTCTTTTCAGCGTAGGGCTACCTTTGAGACCTCCCAATTGTCGATTATTTGTTTTAGGTGGCTTTTTTGTAGTCCACAGCCAGGTTGGGGTCCAATGAAGGGCGTGTTCGCTGCCTCTTTGGTCAGCTTGTCCGCCTTCTCATTGCCCTCAATGTTGCTGCTAGCGAGTTCTCTCAGGTTGCTGATACATGCTCTAATCAGTGCGGAGTCACACGTGTAGACCTGAATTGCCTTTAAGGCAGCCCGACTGTCTGTGAAAATGTTTATGGATGCATCTTTCTGTGCCTTCTGGGGACAGAAACAGGAATGGGCTTCTGCTGTCCTCCTTGTCTATTTCCGCTGAATGTCAGAATATTAGCGTTTTGTTTACGATTTGGATTACCTTTACAATGTTAGATGGCGTTTTCTTCTTAATTAGTAATCTCAGAATATATTCTAGGCGTAAAAATAGAGAAACGTTACATTTCTATCTCTTATCAACGATATATTCTAACAACCTGGCTGTTGATATCAGTAAGTTCATTTTGAACACGAATTGAAGTATACTTTATGTTGTTACAACGACAAACTTTAATTGGTCTTGCAATATATGATCACCTGCTTGTACTCTAAATCTTAATAAGTTCACAAAATTTTCTGACTGAAATTCCTTCCTATGAAAAGCGTGATTGTCTTTTTCTTCTTCCTCTTTTTTTAGATCCTTGGGTCTGTTGTTGCTAATAAGATCTGCCTTTGAAATATTTCCTGAGAAGTCTACGAAGTCTGGTTTCGGGCGGGTTATTTGTAAGCACAACTTTCGATTGTCTGCTATCTGGCATTCCACGGATATGGTTGCGCCACAATGTCCTGAACCCCGTATTGATGTCGGAGTTCTTAATTCTGTGCTATCGGTTCTTTCCTGAGATTGTACTCTGGGTCTTCATTTCTGCTATTCTTAACATGCTCTAACTTTTCTTTGTGTCTTCACATATTTCAATGCCGTTAATCATTATTGGCCATTACTCATATGCAGCCTGAAATTTGGACGATTCGTTGATCTGACTTCTTCGGTCCTTTGCGGGATCGTGTATACTGGGTGTTGTTAATTATCAGCTTTTATCTTGTGTGTTTACTTTTTGAAATAGAGTCAGCCATGTTCATAGATTCGCTCGCTTGATAAAACCTGTGTAGTTGTCTTGCACGTGTATTATGTTTATGATATCTTTGACATCGACGAAGCATATATACGCTCATGTATCAACAGACTTTTCTTAAACACAGCTTTAAATACAAATCCAAACGCGTTTTGATTTTCGATTGATCAACATCGTGAATTTCCGCAAACTTATCTGGATCATCATAAAGTCTGTTGCAAGATCAGCTCGAAATTTACCGTAGTGTTTTTTTTTTTTTTTTTTTTTCAACAGATCCAAAAAATCTTCTTGTTTATCGTTGCGTGTTATCTCTATGTTGGCTTTAAACAGCGAACTGAGCAAATTGACTGTTTTCAAACAATTCACTTGATGCTATTCAATCTAATTACCGTTACTTACAGTTTATCCTGTGTTCAATGTTTGGTAATTTGATGTCTTCGCCGGCTAACTGACCAAATCTTAACATGATCATCGAGAAGAGTTGATTGAATATTTTCGAATCAAGTACTTGATACATAATTTGAATCCTAACCCTTTTCAAAAACAGAACATATTATTTCTGGTTGTAAACTTGACTTGACTTTCTCGACTTCCCATACAGGAAAAATCAATCTTTCGTCATCACTCTGATTAGTTTTGAGGCCTATGTTGCTCTGGTGTGTAATAAAGAACCGTTGCCGCATTCTGCAACTTCTTGTCATTTATGGTAACTTTGCCTTCAAAGATCTGCTCTGCAAGCAAAGCAATATTATCTTCTTGCTCAATTTGAAAATGCCTAACATAAATCTGCATCTATGAACTCCCTGGTTTGTATAAATACCTACTAATGATGAAGTTGTAATTCTGATTATCTTTGTATTTTTTTTTAATACTGATGCCAGCTAGTTACGCAGCTAGTTTTGCAGGTCTTGTTGATGGTAAAAAACTACCGACCCATGGTACTATTCATCCACTCTCCCATCCTATCGAAATTTGAGTGAAATATTGTTCTTGTCTTCTTGATGTTTAGCACCTTACAAACAGCAGATCGAGTCGTGTATGAAGGCATCCACTATTGTTGTAATTTCCTAGTTTGGCAAGGCATAAGCTTCCACTCATTTGTTGATGTAGACCATTACCACAAAGATGTATTTATTGCCTCCATCAGTTTTGGGAATGGACTACCTACTATTTTCTTGATTGGACTACCGATTTTGTATTGGTGCATTGGTGCCTTCCTGCGCCAATCTTTAAATTTATCTCCAANAGACCGTTACCACAAAGATGTATTTATTGCCACCATCAGTTTTGGGAATGGACTACCTACTATTTTCTTGATTGGACTACCGATTTTGTATTGGTGCATTGGTTCCTTCCTGCGCCAATCTTTAAATTTATCTCCAATTTGTTGCTTCACAAGTCAGAAGTTACGCAGCTAGTTTTCTTGCATACAAACTCATCTTCTTTTGAAATTCGTATTGTATCATCGCTCGATAAACAACTATGACCAAGTAATGGAAAATATATCTTGAAATGCGACTATCAAGAGAAATCTTGTTATAATATGCTATCTATTTTGTCTACCACACACATCACTGAAGATATGGAGTCATGCTATAGCAGTATAAATTTCTCTTTCTCCGTAAGCCTCTCTTTCTGTATGTGTTTAAAAGATGGAGTTGCACGGCTTATATTATGAATATTAATTCTGCCACTGCTAACCTTTTTGCTGTTTTACTAAGAATACTGGAGTTGACTTTTGCATTTAACACACGTCTAGATACGTTGCATCTAGAGCACACGTTCACTTCTGGCCTTTCAAACTTGTATCTAAAGTTTTTTTTCTAAAATGGTTCCAGTAAAGCTTATAAGATAATTAACAAATTTAAAGATAATTAACAAATTTGAGTGACCAAATATCTAAATGCAACTAAGAAGCAAATAGAATCCTATTTTGAAAATGAGTTAATGTGATCTGCGATTTCGCAATGTCTTCAGGATCTTTTTTGATTCAAAAGCACATTTTCTACAATTTTGATAAAACACTATAGGAACTTATTTGATATTCTTTGTAGACTCAAGAAAGCATTTCCATAGACTTTACTCTTACTTGCACTCTTAATTGCGTGATACAAATGTTGTTATCAGCTTGGAATTGGCTAAAACTACTCAATATCATTTCTGTTAATAAGCTCACCTAACTAATACAGATAACAACAAATTAAAAATATTTTAGGGTCTTTTTGGAACATACAATGCAGATCCAACAGATGATTTCACCCTCCCCAATGGAACTATTGTCACCGATTCAAACCTCTTCGGCCACTCTTGGGTTGTCCCAGGAAGTTGTGCCTCTGAAAATGTGAATACTGATCCCGTACCACACCCTTGCGATGCAAACCCTGACAAAAAACCTTGGGCAGAAGCAAATTGTGCTATTTTAAAAACATCATTATTTGAAGGTAATCAAAAATTGATTCAAATAATTTTTTTTTAATAATTTTTAAATTAAGGTTGTTCCGATGATGTTGATTCCGCTTACGAAGAATGTATTTACGATGGTTGTTTATGCACCGTAAGAGTCACCATCATTTTTAGTCTTATTCATTGATTTATTACAAATAATTTTTGTAGGAAATAAGTTGTCTCTGTGATTTTTACGCCCAACAAGGCGAGATGTGCGCTGCTAAAGGAATTTTGATCGATTGGCGTCAAGAAATCTCCGAATGCGCCATTCAATGCCCAGCTGGACAACAATATCAAATTTGTGGTGATTCTTGTACAAGGAGTTGTAACGATATTTCAGCAAATCCAACTTGTTCAACTCGATGTGTCGATGGATGTAATTGCCCACCAGGGCAAACTTTGGACAATAATGATCAATGCATCCCAATCGGTGAATGTCCGTGTGTTTTGGATAATATTAGGTATCCAGCTGAGTTTATTTTTATTGATACCAACGATAAAAGCAAACAGTAAGTTAATTAAATCATTAATTTGAAATAATAATTGCTAAAATTAATTAGCGTTTGTGAAAATGCTTTATGGACAATCACTCCAGCTACTGATGAAGAACTTGGGGAGTTCCCAAACATTGAGGATTTAGAAAATCAATGTAATCGCAACGATTTTTTTGTATTTTCTGGTTGTAAACGAACTAACGAAGAAACTTGTTTGGTAATTATATCAAATTGCAATAACTTTGATTATACATAAGATTTCTTTTTAGAACAAACATTTAAATGAACGCCCAAACTTTGATGATTGCCAATCTGGTTGTGAATGCATGGAAGGATTCGTCATGGACACCGAATTAAATATGTGCGTAAGACCGGAAGATTGCCCATGTATGTATCAAGGTATTAGTTATCCAGACGATGCAATCATTAACAATAGAGATGAAAGATGCGTTTGTGTTTATGGTTTTTGGGAATGTTCTCCTCAAACGGATCATTGGGAAAAATGCAGCATTTGGGGAAACGTCCATGTCAGAACTTTCGACGAAACTCTTTACACTTTCAACGGATTTTGCGAATACATTTTATTCGAGCACGTTTTCGACGAAACCGGAGTTATTAGAGTTACCGTTGAGACTGGAAAATGCCCGGCTGGTTCTTGCATCCAACGTCTCGAAATTTTGTATCGATCTAATTCTGGCCAAACTGAAAATTTAATTTTCCTTAATGAAAACGAAGTTTTCTCACCAACCTCATTAACCACATTAAACGTAACCGATTTAGGACAATCAACGATTATTGATGTCCTAAATTTTGATGTTAGGGTGGTTTGGAATAGAGATGGATGGGTTCATCTTCATGTTTCTCAAGATTGGATTGCGAAAGATCATGCTGGGTTATGTGGAAAATACGATAATGATGCAACCAATGATTTGGATATTCTCCAAATCAAAGCAACGCAAGTTTCTTCTTTCGTTGATTATAACCGGGGTGATAGAACTTGTGCAAAATCAACAGAATTAAATGTAATTCTTTTACTTTAACTTAATAACTTAATATAACATTTTTATTAATTCGTTGCATTTCAGACTGTTAATGCAATGTTCCCAGAAGATCCTTGCAACATTCTTTACACAAACATTTTTAGAGAATGCAGATTCTTAAAACCAGTTGATGATTACTTTAATAGATGCATAATCGACGCTAAAACACAATTAAATTTACCTGAATTGGAAAGAACTAATTATTACTGCCAAACTATCGGTGCTTATGCCCAAGAATGTAACGATGTTGGAGCTGTGGTAAATTGGAGAAGTGATTCAATTTGTCGTAAGAATTAATTTTTTTACCAACTGAGATTTATTTTAATTTATTTAATTTTTTAGCTAATTCTTGCCCATTAGATAAAGATTATTATCCATGTAAGAGTGTGTGCACCGAAAATGATTGTGATCAAGATGGAATGTGCTTTGAAGGTTGTGGAAAAATAAGATGTGTTGATGAATAAGGTTGTTACAGAAATATGTGCAAATTGTCAGAATTATGTTAATAAATCTTCAATAAAACCATTTTAAAACAAATTCTACTTTTTAATGATTTTCTAATTTCTTTATATCGCGTTCTTGTCATAATTCAATCATGGGAAGGAATCATAACCTAGTTCTATGTAAGATCCTATTAGAATAACCCCGATCATTCAAAAAGCAGCTTTCTGTGCTTTTTTAAAGTTTTGAGATACCTTTCTATTTGGTTATTTGTACCTAGATATTCTAGTGTAATGAAATTCTGCAGAAATTCTTGTGACTTAAAAATTGTGGCATTGTCGGATCCTAAAATTTGTGGTAGACCTGTTCTGCTAAAGAGCTTCTTCAACATACACAAGAATGATGCTGATTTGATGCTGTTGTTGGAGCTATTTTTGTACTTATTATTTCTGGCCACTTGGACTTAGCATTCACCATGATAAAAAAGCTTTGCCATACTTCTTCTGGAATATCTCATTTATGTACCGGTACACTATTTGGGTTGTTTTTAATATTGGCACATGGTTGACATGATTTTACGAGAAGTTCAGTATCTTTGTAACATCATTTTCAGAGTTCGTTGGTGAGAGGACTGGAGTTTTTCTAAAAATATCATTCATGGTTTTCATCAGTGGTATTCTTATTAATTGGTAAAGATGCTCGAGATAAGTAGTTGGCGTTGGCGTGATGTTCCGATTTCCTATGTTGGATTTCAAAGTCAAATCCATTGAGGAACAAAAATCCCAAAAATCTTAGTCTATGGTTTGTTGTCTGTGATTAATGTAAATTTCCGACCATATATGTAAACAAACCATTTAACCAATAATTCTTTTCAACTGCCATGAAAGGTCTGCTGGCGAATGCAATGGGCCGCTCGTCCCATTGCATCATGATGATATGAGATTATATGATACGAGATTTGATGATATGGGACAAGACTGCAGATAAACCCACTTAGCTAGCATCTGTGACGAGTATCAATGGTAAATTCGGATCATAACTTACCAGCACTTGGTCGCCGACAATTTCTTTTTTGATTTTTAAGAGGACGGTAAATCCCTTCAACAATTGATAAAATGGGTGCGGTATTGATGCCACATTTTGTATAAATTTTGAGTAATAAGATACGTACCCGACAAACGTTCGTAGTTCATTGATGCTTGTCTGTTGCTGTTCAGTTGCTTTGAAGTTTTCTGGACACCGATTGAGCTGACTATGTGTCCTAAATATCTTATAGAAGAGACAAAAAGGTTATTCCTTCATTAGGTGCTGTTTTATTTCCAAAAGCAAGTTGCTTCATCTTGTAAGAACCTCGGTGAGCGAAATTGTCCGTAATCGTTGACCATTTGTATCTGTCATTAGAGGAAAACCCCATTCAGAGCAATCTGTTTTCTCAATGATCCCTAGTTTTTTCATTAATTCTAATTCTTCGTCTGCTCTCTTGTGTAGAGCGTATGATATTTGGTGAGGTTTTAAATATACAGGAGTGATCTTTCCATTCTTTAGCTTGCAACTGCAAGTGACATTTGGTACACTGATATCTTTTTTTCTAGAGTTTTTTTTTCTGTTTTTTCTATTTTGGAGACATGATTTATAATTAGGCGTCTAAGTACTTTACTTGTAGCTGCCCTCTGATGAAGTTATAAATAAATAACGAAAGCTCTGGACAGATTAAAGGAGGTTTACTCTCTTACCTACCCCACCGGCTGTTTATCCCGATAATTCTTGGGTCCTTAACTTTGTACAGCCAGTACTCACACCTACATAATAATATCATAACAAAACCACAAATCTAAATGAAACAATACCAAACTTAAAAATGAACCGAACGTGGAAACAACCTGACAGAACATTCAAAAATGTAACCACGAGGCAGCAGAGGAAGTCATCGGTATGAGGAAAGTTTACATCAATGCAATCAAAAACACCAAACCCTGGTTTTTGGGTGAAGTTGGGAATCTGGCAGAAATGAAAAGGAAAAGCAACTTATCGTACAAAAATACACAAACAAAATCCGAAATGGCACTAACAAAACCGCAGTAGCCTTGGATGGATACAGTAGTCTAGGAATTGTTGTGCTGCTCCCAACCTCTCTGCTTAGAGTAAAAATATGTACGCCAAAAATTCTACCAAGATAAAGAAATTAACAAAGAACTTAAAGAAACAAAGGCAATGAATTAACAGAATATGGAGATTACAAGCTACTAGTGTCCGGTAAGTCTAAGAACGCAAGAGCGTTATCTGGCTGGAGAAGAAGGACATGGACAGACCGCCTGGAGAAGACGAAGGAAAGAGTCTATAATCGATTTGACTATATGTAAAAGCACACAGATAGCGGCTTTTCAGGAGTGAAGGAGGAGACCACCTAAATATCTATTGCACTAAATTGCAAGAGGGAACCCAGTCTAATGAAAAGTGAGAGCAGATGGTGACGATGGAAAGAAAAAAAATTTTTTGATTTTTTAAGTGCCAGAAAACGCATGAAATGACCCGACAAATACTAACCGAAGCAACGCTAAAAGCATGCGGGGCATACGGAAGAAAATCGGTCAAGATCGCAACAGGACGGATATACTGGTGGAATGAATGAGGAGGTAGAGAAGGCAAAGGAGAAGGCGAACAGAGGACACCAGAAAACGATATAGAAAAGGAATTAAAATGGCCAAGAAGATTATATAGGATAGGGGATCTTTCCTGAAAGGGGTGACAATGTGTGGAAGGTTGGAAGACCGGAGAAAATAGACAGAAAAGTCACAAATGATGAAGTGAGAGAGATCGCAAGTGGGATAAAGAGTAAAGAATGCCCAAAATGTTTAACCAATTGCTGAGGGAGTATAAATTTCTTAAAGTGTCGAAAGAGGGAATGTCATTTAAACCCTCGTGTTTGCTAAACTTAGTTCTTTGAGAAGCTTATGCGATGTAGGCTAAACGACTACGTGGACTACCTTGCGGCGGTGAAGCACAAATAAACCTAAACAGAACTATAAGAAGAACACTTACGTGACACTAAGTGTTACTCTGACAATAAGTAAGACACCAACCAGACCGACGGAATCGCATAAATGAGCCAGGATGGTCACTTATGTTGCGTGGCAGGCAAGTTGGGACGATAAACGACGCGGTAGGTATATGAACTGCATGGGGCTTATCCAGGATGTAATGAGTGGTGTAAACGAAAACACAGTGATGCGGATATTTTATAACATATTAAGTGCCACAGATCAAAGGCGCACTGAGACGAGCTGGAGGCGGAAATACTACTGAAAAAATAAATGGATTTGGCACCGCCCCCTAATACCGACTAGAAAGAAAGAATCGATTAGAACTGAAAACTGTAAACCTGTAGAGGGAGATCCTTACTGGGACGAAAACCCTGATTTTGATGCTCGTAAGTTAAAACAAATTAAAGTTAGTGTAATTTGGAGTTTATCTTGTAATGGCTCAACATACACAGCAGCCTGCAGGCGAAGAGGGGATGAAGCTTGGGTTGAGGATGTGGGACGTTGTGGAGATGGAGGTTTTACGAGGTTTTAAGCATAGAATTGCCAAGATGTCGATCATACGGTGGAGATAGTTAAGTTTATGTGGGTAACTTGTGTTTGTTGTTTTGTGTTGGTTTTTTTTGTTGCGCTTTGGAATAGTGGGTTGGGATGTGTTGTCGTGTTCTGATTGGACGGGTTTTGGTGGTGTTGTGAAGCTTGTTTTGATGAAGCAGGTTTTAATTGTGACTGGTTTGAAGCTTTTATATATGTTAGCCATGTGGGGCGGTATAGATTAATGATACGAAAATGTTGGTGTAGTAAAGATTGCTAAGTCGTGAAATGATTGCATAGATGGTTTTAATGGTGGAGGATGTATATATTGTTGTATATCTTGTATATATTTTTTTGAATGTGGGAGAGAAGGTTAATCTTTAATCTACAGTGACGCTTGGATGTTTGATATCCGTTTTGAGTGAGATAGTGAAGGACTGGTGGATTCTGGTGGGGCGACAGTTTTGGGTGAATACAATTGATTCGGATTTTTTGGGATTGACGGATATCTTCCATACGGAATAGTATTTTTGTAGGAATCTGATGTGGGCTTATAGTAAAAGGATGCCGATTTTAGGATCTTTAGGTGGAGTTGATTTTGACTTTTATCCTGAGGGAAGAGAGGTAGTTATGAGTTAGTTTGATGAGGCCGTCGTTGATAGTAAAGTCAAGTAAAGTATATTTATTCATTCAAAGAAGTTACCTACAGAATTAATTAATTTCTTAAATACGTCAAAGGAAAAAGTAACATAGTAGTAATAATAAGTAAATACGTTTAAATTCCAGAGACTCCAAATATTCTGGAATACTGTAGAAGGTAGAAAATACTGTAGAAAATAATGAATACGGCAAGCTTCGTATTGCTACTGGGAACTTATTGTAGAGGTGCAAACCTAGTATTAGTGGGTGAGAGTTAAGTCTACTTTTTGGAATACGCAGTAACTGGCAGTGTCTAGTGTTATACATATGTACCTCTTCAATCTTATCTAGTGAGGCCTCTTTCTTTTTAATTTCCAACAACCTCTCGTGTATATAGGCAGATGCAGTAACGTCATTATATCGTATTTGATAAATAGGGGCTTGCAAGTTGATGTTTGAGGAACTCCATCAATTGCCCGAACGGCTTTCAAATACCGCAATTCCATACAGTATAGAAGCATAAAATAAGGCAAAGTAAACTGTCCTCGCTTCCTCGCAGTCAATTAATTGTCTCACCCCTCTAATCGCATATATTTGACGATTGAGTCTGTTACAAAGTAATTCTACTTGGTCGTACTAAGTAAGAAGACTGTCTAGAACAACACCTAAATATTGCACCTTTCCTTCTTGGAGCTCGTGATGAATTCGATTAGTTGTCAACTAGATGTTGTTGGACTTTTCACGATTTGTAACAAGTTTATTGGTAGTAAACCAGTTAGATGTACATGAGCAAGTTCTAAGATCCTCACTATCTAGATGTTCTTTCCCTTGGGTCGAAACCATCTTTACTGTATCATTCGCAAACAGGAGAATAAGACAATCAAT